GACTGCCATAAAGCACAACAACATCCATACTGGCCAGGGATCATTGACGTACCGCCTGTTTGTCAGCTTTTAGCACCGATGACAGTGGGTTGGGTTGAGTTTCTTGCTCTATGGAAATAACAACTAATAATAGAAGCGTAACCAGTGCTTTAACTCGAACCGATGCCCCTGATATGATAAAACTAAAACTATGCAATCTGGATTATCGCATGTCAGGCATTTGCTACCTGTTCATCGGTATCCATTGGTTTCCTTCAGCTCTATGTTATGCCATTAAGCTAGAAAATTAACAAGCTTAGTCAAGCCGTCTGCATTCCGTCCAATCTGGCTGTAAGATATGGGAAGAAATTATTTGAGACTCTGCGTACACTAATTCTTTCTGTTTTTTATTTTTACCGTTATAGCATGTCAGAAAATACTCCTATTTTTATCGCTATTTTAAAATATGTGAATTACAGTGGCAGTTAATTAAACGCCCCCGCAATTTGATGACTTTCTCAAACAGTAGACGGTTATGTGATATTGCTGACCAGCTGACGTCTCTCATAGCACGTGCAGCGATACAGACACGTTGAGTTCAAATGAGTAGGTTTTTTAAGTTTGGATACCACAAACAGGGTCAACGGTATTCCAGTGTATACTGAGATTCACTGTCAATATTACTTTTCCTGTTAGGGGCTAATATTTCCGAAGAAACAGAAGCGTCTCACTGTACGAATTTTGTAGTCTTAAGTTTCAGGCGTTGACGTGTCTTATTAATATTACGGAAATACTTCTGTATTGATGGCTAACCTTTTTGCCTAAATGAATTAGCTTCTTCTAATTCATATGGACGGCGTCGGTCGTCAAATTGAGGATGGCCCTTTAAGAAATCATGCGAAAAGTAAACATAAAAAAATTTGATTGATAAGTAGAACTAACTTAGGTAAAAGCCTGATAAATAGAAGAACAAAAGTATCCATCGAAGTAAGCACTGCCATAATTTCTATGCAAAAGCACCCGTATGTACTCTTTAACTAGAAACGTATAAAACAGACATTGCTATAGATGCTCAAATACTTAAATCATTGCTTCTTCGTTCAAATTGGTATTTATGTAAAACCATTCCTGAAGCAACATATGGTAATGGTATAATAACTTATCTGAATTATAGGTTAAACTACTGC